CAGGTCCCTTCCGACCCTAGAAACTATGAAACTAAGACACTTGCGGTAGCCATCTTCGGTCATCAAATACTTTTGGTTTCGCTTAATGCTCGTTTCGCTTAACACTCGGCTTTTCAGGAACCAATTAAGGGCGCCAAGCGAGGGTTACCTATACATTTAAATATAAACCCAATGCAAACCTATTCTTCACCCCAGTCAACATCTTCCCTCAGAAAATGTCTGATTGAATAGATGAGTCTTATAGCATGCTCAGATAGGCAACCTTAGGGCCACATTAGACCAAGGATAGAGGAAGCTCCACACACTATGGCAAGTAAGGTCCCCCACTGAGAATGCTATGCCTACAGTCTGAGCTGAATGAATGCAGTACTCTGGACACAAGCACTTTAAATCCCTCATCTAGCAAGGTACTTAAGCAGCTGTCTGATTCTGCATCTCCGCATATCTTTTTGATATTTTTATAATTATTTAACATAGAGGTTGGCAACACTTTCTGGCACCAGAATGGAAGGACAAAGCTCAAGATGAAGGCAGGCCAGTGCCAGAACCCAGCTACTTTTCCCCAATGTCTAGCCATGGCATGCAGAAAGACCCATGCCACCTGAAAAAGAACAGGTAAGTCCCCTGCTGCCTGGCCACAGCAGGGGCAGAGTACCTCTCTGCTGCTGAATACTGCTGAAACCCCTGCAGCTCCCTGAGTCAGATCCAATGGCTCTGTGGCCACACTCATTACAATTCATATTAAGTTGATTTCATTGGTAGTGCAGCAAAAGAAGCATAACTTGAGGAGTTCTGCAACAGAGGTGGCCTGGTGCAAGTACAGGATTTAACATGTCCAGAGCGATCAAGGCCAATTCCCTCATTTTGCTCTCCCCAGTTTTCTTTGTTAACATAGGTAGCAATGATTAGCTTCTCTCAAACTCAGGCCAATAATCTGAGCTAAAGCCTTTATTCTTTGACTACGATTTCAAAGACAGAGGCTCTCTAACCATGTGTTCACAGCACTAAGCACAATGGAACTTCACTTTGAGAAGGCTATCACTGTAAAAATAAGGTATATTTAATAATCAGTGACAGTGGCAATCCATGGCTAATTTACTTTAAACAAATGCAGATCTCCAGGACAAAGGCTGAACTGAAAGTGTGTCACACCTGAAGACGAAAAGAGGAGGAAGAAAAGAAAAAGAGGTTTCTAAATGTATACTGGCCCATCAACCCATGTTCAAAACTGTATCAAATAAAGGGATTACGTGCGCATGGCATTCACTGGTAACAATTTAGGGATCAAGAAGATTTAACCCAACTTTATAGGATAAAATAAAGAACAGCTTTAGTAATTCTCTAAAGGTTAATAATAGAGGGATAGATGGCAAGAAAAGACAGAACCTGTTGACCCCACACCACCTCTCAACAGCAGGATGATTTAATAAGTAGCTCAAGATAACAGATAAAATGAAATTCAATTTCTTTCACACTTGATAAGCAACACGTGGTATGACAGGTCAATATTAGAGCCTCTTTGCAGAGATTATCTCCATTTATTCAGAGATAGTTGTGAAAACAAAAGCCTTCACAGTTACAAAAGAAACAAGGGCAGAGCATGCATTTCCCCAGAACCAATTTTTAATGATAAAACTTATTACCCTGCTGTCAATCAGAGAAAAATAGAAGATGTCCTAAAGCTTGTGACAAAAAAAAGCTATTTTCAAAGACGTACACAAAATAAGTACACTGAAACATGACAAGTACTTTACCACTGCTGCCTATCATCAGAAATCCTAAAGGTTGATTGCAATACACAATTTCAATTCCATTTATCTGAAAAAAAAGAAAGTGGATTTTCTGACCAGAAGATAAAACACACATTTGTTGGTGTGAAATTGAAAACAATGAGACAAATATTATAGCAGAGGTAAACTCCTCAGATAACAAGGACAGAGCTTCTTGAGTGCCAGTTTATACAATGCTTTAACCAGCTTTTCCTTGGACTGTTTCTGATTGCATGACATTATAATCGGGAACCAGCTCCGAATTCCTATGCTCCGCAATTAAATATATTGCCTGTTACGTCAACATGATTTTAACCAAACTCATTACAGTTCATATTAACAGTGACTTGCACTGATGTCATTGGCACTTTAGCAAGAGGAGAATAACTTGGAGAAGTCTGGCAACTGAGGTGGTCTGATGCATCACTCATGGGCACAATCAAGCTTTGGGCAGCAATGGTGGCAGCAGCAGCAAAAGCAGTGAGATGGGGATTTTAAACACCACATTGAAAGCCAAAAGCCAAAATGCAATAAACTATTAAGGTAGTTTACTGATAGTCAACTTGATTTTTTAAAATCCCCTATAAAGGGAGTCAAATTTCTGAGGGAGTTGCTTTAATGCCCTGGCATTCAAAAAAAAAAAATGCAAAAAAGATATTTTTAGTTATTTTCCCTTTCCTTATTGATATTCATTCACCAAGGATAGAAATACACCTGAGAACAGTGCAAGTGCATCTGCTCAGGTTCTTCTTTCTGTCCTCCCCCCCTTTTCCTCCCTAGTTGCCCCACCTGGCTTTCTGTGCCCTCTTCAGGGTCACTCCCTTCCTCTCTTGCAGAGGTCTAAGTAATAAAGAAGAGGTCTTTTCCTTCCTGTCTGCATGACTCCTGTCATCCCTTGGGCTTAGACAACTATCCCAGAAAAATGAAACACTTCCTGTTCTGAAACTGGGATAATTAGAACTCAGCAACTTTAAAACAGTTCTTGCAGAGAGCATACCACTGAACTCCTCCCTCAAGAGCAGACACGAGTTGTCATCAACCTGGCACATGAGACAGGAATTGCAAGAGGCCAAGAAAAGATCAGGAGTGCTATGAATGACAACAATAGTCAAGTACCAAAAGCCACCAGACTAAGCTATGATGAATTTCTAAAGATCAAATGCTAAAGGGGTCTCAATAAGAGATTCTATATGATATTTATTCAGAAGCAGTTTGGCATCACTGATACTTGTTGATCTCTGCAAGAATGGTGCCCCTTTAGGCATTGTATACGGGGGTGTGTGTGTGTGGTTTGGCAGCAGGTAATAACTGACCAAGTAATTTGAAAGTGAACTGGGGCACATGGGCTAAGATACTAGACCATAATTAAGTTATGAACAGCAGCTAACAGTCCCTAGCTGAAATGCTCCGTCTTGGCATATATCCTGATTGAGGTCAGGCAGGGTGACGGAAATCCCATAATTGGATGGTGGGAGCACTAGCAAGTCATCAAAAATAGATGCATTTCAGTGGTATCATGAAACCTAAGCTGGTAAACACTA